GAAGATGATTACGAAGAGAAAGAAGCAGCGAGAAAGAGGGAGAGAGGGGAAAGAGGAAACAGTTAACGTTTATAACGGCAGTTTATTGCCAATATCGCGCTTGCTGGCAAAAGCTTTAGTGCTCCACGCGAAAATTATATGACCGGCAATGAGAGATTTTGTGTTTGCATAATTCCGTAAATTAGAAAGGATCAAAGATAAACGATCGCGTAAAAACCAGAGGGTAATTATACAAGAATTCATTGGGATACAGATTTCTGTTGCCAATTATTATCAAACCCATAAAATAGAAATGTAATTAAATGTAAGGAATGCAAGAGAAAAAGGAGCGATATTTTTCGCGGCCCTGCGTTTTTTAGATTTTGTTCGTATCGGATTAAAAGCAGAATTAAAGTATAATATTAATAGACAGAAAATAGATAAGTAAAAGGGGATAAAGTGAAAGCAAGAGGGAGAGCGGGGGAGGAGAGAGGGGGGGGGAGAGACAGACTATAACTGTGATATTTACAGTTTGAGTTTATCGCGACCAGAGAGTGATATTATATTTCTAGCAATTAAAATCACCAATAACTTCGGTTTATTTCCGATCCGCATAAACAGTAGTGTACTTTATGCATCGAGTTTGGATCTTTATTATTTATAGGCGGTATTGTTGTTTCAAGAACGCGATATATATATATATAACGTTGTTTGTAGCAAATTCGAAATTCATATTTGTTCTACGTAATTAATTGTTTTCCTGGACTTTTCAATGCGCCTTTTAAATTGAATAGAATTTGTTTATATATATCGGGTATCCTTAACTTGTCGCATTTCCGCTTAATTGATAAATACTTAAAGCCGAGTTCAAAGGAAAAATTATCACAATAATTCGATAATTTTCTCATTTTCGAATATTAATAAGGTTAAACAATTTAATAAATTATGATAAATATGTTAAAGTATGTTTATAAAGTAATTATATTTATACCTAATTTTATTTACATAAACATTAGAAATTATCTTCTTTTTTTTATCAAAATAAAGTATATCTCAACACAAATGTATTGGAACATCTGATTATCAAAATATTTTATGTGAGAAATAAAAAAACTTCTTTCTGAATAATAGTATTTAACTTCTTGTTAATAAAATAATAATAACCTTAAGGAATATAACCTAAGAGGCGCGGGTAAACTTATGACAGTTTGTATAACTAACTTTTGCAATTTGAAGTTTTGAATGTAACAAGCGGATCTCAAACTTACTCATTATAAAGTTCTAATATTGCTACATACGACATATTATATCGATATTAGTATTATTGGTTCGATGTTGTCAGCTAAAAGTTGATTAAATATGTAAGAATTAGGTGTACTCGAGTACCCGAATATAATCGGAAATACTTTGTTTTTCATTTAACGTGTTACTAAGTATTTAAGTCAGTAATGAAACCGGATTGAATTAATTTTTGGAAAAACGATGAATTTAATGAAATACTTTTAACTGCTGTATTATTTCGTAATCTCGTATACATAAATATTATGAAAAAAAAAATAAATCGATAACTCTAAGGTATGGTATGTCTCAAGGAGTTTCTTCATTATAGTTAAGTGCAATGTTATTACAGTAATTGAAAATGTCATACTTAAAAAAGAAGACTCATATTTTAATAATCTGCAATCGAGTTTTTAAGAATAATATTTGGTAACATATTTTTTCTTTTCTTCATTATTTACAACTGTATATACTGGTAAGACATTCGATTATTCGTTTAATTCGAGCTATCATTGAAATGAATACTTATACCACAACATAATAATGTAGCAATTTAAAAGAATAATTCTAAATGGTTCTTAATAATTTGCCACCTTTTCAGACTACTTTGTCAATTGTGGACTATATCATGGGTGACTGGCAATTTGCGCCAGGTATAATAATTGTTTAGCCGCTTCTTAGAATCCGCCCACGTTATCTCAAATCCATTAACGATCGGTACGACGCTCGTTAACTGCGCCGGCGACAGAAAGTCGATAGTTAATTACGCAAATGAAGGGATCTCGTTAACAGCGGCGAACACGACTGCGATAGACCGTTAAGTAACGTGCCCGCCGATTCGATCGCCATCGAAAGTGCATAGATCAATGGCTGCATGCGAGTCCCCGATGCATCCCTCACTAAATCTCGGATGCAATCGCATTAGATTGCGTTTGGCTTTTAAATCGGGTAATAACTTTCATCCCTTTATCTGTAACGGTTCCGCGAACGCTTATGAAATGGATGTCAAGAGCGAAATGCAATCCGATGTAATATCAGGATGCAATTCACACTTGCTACTAATTGGATTTTACGATGAGTTTATCAATTATTCTTTATTAAATTGTCAGTCGTAATAATTATACAGAAGTTTCTATTAATCTTTAAATTTAAGGTAATTACATGTTTCCTTATTGAAGATTTTATTTTGATCTTCTATCTTTCAAGGCCTTGCGCTTATTCTTTAGGGAAAAAAATTTGTTTAACACGCATGTGAACTTAATTTAAAGTAGGCGAGCGTGGCACAAAGAGATGTGTACTGCCTACAATTAGTAAACAAATGACCAAAAAGATCCGAGTTTAAATCTAATCAGAATACCGCTGGTTTTTATTAGAAAGCTCTTGGGAAAAAGTGGCAACCACCAAGCTACATACACCACCCTGGGACCTAAAGGTCCCTCCAGGCATCTTCTCATGCTCGGGGTTGGTTGTTTTCAAAAAGAAGGAGGGTTAGTGGGTTAGATTAGCAGTTTGCCCACTGCAAAAATAAACATTGCTCAAGGAACACCCAGGAAAGTCTCTAAAAAGGTTTTCAATTAGGTGACAGGACATATAGTCCTACATTCAGAAGAAAAAGAAGAAGAAGAATATTTGGCATAACGTGTGATAATTATTTAGTCCTATTTCGAAAAAGTTAGACTTTGTTCTTTATAACTGCAAAGAACGGAGAGCTACTGAGATCAGTACCGGTCTTTTAAAGTGCGATTTGAGGGGAGAAGTTGCATCTTTATAAAAACATTGTAAAGTGTTGCTGGCTACTTTAATTTATTTGATACAATTCGAGAGAGAGAGAGAGAGAGAGAGAGAGAGAGAGAGCGTGCGCGTGATACCGAACTAAGTAATTATAAATTAATGTCGATTGGACATTACACGAGTCGTCAGCTGATAGGCAATTGTATTAGCTCTAATGGCTAATTGAATGCGGCACGCTTGTGACATGTGTCACGCGCAGGTGGCAGACCGCGGGAAATTATCGTCGGCGTTCTCGCGGAAGCGGCAGATCCGAAGAAAGGCAACGTCAGGTCGGGAATGCGCGGCGAAGATGAAGAGCCGGGCGTGAATGGAATATTTCGGGTCGCGACATACCGTGAAACGATCTATTCTCCCGGACGGACGACAATTATGATTCCTTACGCGAATGTAATTATTCGCGGCGCGAGTGCGGCTCGCCGCAATTAATTGCCCTTCGCCGAGCAATTGCCGAATGATGAGGAGCGACGCTTTCCCGGTGCAGCTAACCGCAACGATTAAAAGAGAGATGAAAGACGTGCTTCTATTCACATCGAGCTGAATCCTCGCCGCGTGTCGGAGCTATCTCGCGCTAACCGTGAAAGAAATTGCGAGTATGGAGATGTGCGAGGGACCGAAATTTGCTTCTAAAAATTAAATTGCAGAATTCCACTTTTGAAATTGCTTATTTTATTATTATTATCGAAATATAAGTCTAAAGAATTTGATGTCCAATACGTAAAATAATTATCTCTAACGAACCTGAGAAGTTTATTGTGATATCTATCTTTATTTTATCAGTTCCTTATACGTTTCAATTAGAAAACTTTGCGTTTGGTATAATTTAATTAAATTTCATTGCGCAAGTTGTACTGAAAGTTCCGGCTAATTACTCCGTTACTAAATTTCATCTAATGATTATATTCGCCGAGAACTTTGAATTGCAGCGTGGTTGCATTCCAACGAGAGAGAAAGTTTGATTTAAATATTGAAACGCAGGGAAGAAAGGAAAAATCTTTCTTTTGTAATCTTCATTGTGCATGGAAACATTAGAAACCCAAATGATAATGGAAAGTAATGAAAACGATCATTTTTCTACTCTTATCTGGCTTCTTTTTACCTTCATCGTTTACCTATATACATATATTCTTCAGAATATCAGATAGAGATAACGTTATTAATGACAGAAATATACACAATGTTAAGAAGGGTATAGTTCTGTATAAATCACGTAGATCATTCGTCAAGTTGGTAAATTTCAATTATGTTGTAAATTATCATTGACGACAAACTTATTTTTGAAAAGTATCGAAGGCAATCGAAATAGTGGAAACCATAATTTGCCATACATTTACAAATTCTTTTTCAGAGATTTTTCAAATTGCTACTTTTCAAAATTTTTGATCGTGCCATCGCAAGATCTGTTTAGGATGACCTAATTATTTGTTTCAGAGCTACATTTAGATTGGTTTAATTATTTGTTTGGTAGCAATGTATTCAGGATGCTTTAATTATTTTTCGAAAGTTGCTTTCGTTCATCATTTATTATGAGCACATCATTACTAGTTTATCGATCGGTAGGATAGTATAAACAGCACCTACATTATTCTCGACGAGAGGAATGTAAAAATTATAGCAAGAAACAATTTGATTTATTTGAATTATTTCAATATCCGTATATTGTTTGTCATGCGTATAATCTGGAGACAAATAACTTTGTTTTTAACCGTTACTGCACATGTGAATTTTATCTCTGTCGTGTTTAATTCCATTTGTTTTATTGCATTTTATTTCTGTATTGCAGCATTGCGACTGTTGATCTCTCTCTGCGCTGAGGAAATTTGCGATCGCTGCATGTAGATCTTCAAATAAAAAAAAAAATAAAACTTGTGCAAGGATGACTCGGAATTTACGTGAACAATGACGAACGATCGTAATATAATATTGAAAGGTACTTGGATAAGATATCACAAGTATAAACGATTAATTTTATTCTTATAACATTACATTCGTAAATTACAGGATATACGTATAAGTAAATATTTCCTGGCACTAGATACCGATATCTATCTCAAGCAATCTAAATCGCTACACCTCTTTCAATTCTTAGATCCTAAATTTATAACTTGTACTAATTTGTACTTAAAATTTTTATAGACACAGCTATTTAATAATGTTAGAATAATTACGCGAGCATATTTAAATTTATAGATTTAGATTTTTATTTTGATACGAACTTCTACATATACTTTTATTGAATTGGAAATTTTACCTTACTCTTAAACTTTGTCATCTTCATGCAACTAAATTTTCCTTCATTGTTATTTTAACTGTTTTGAATTTACCTAAGCAATTATTTATACCATGTTATTGTGTTATAAGTTGAGAATACACTGACATACATGCTCAATTTATTAGCGCACCAGACGGTAGTGATTTGCAGTGGTAATACTTCGTAATGTGTCGGACAATACGCTCCATTAACCTGCCGCAAGATATTTAAGTTCGGTTACTGAACAGAACAGCAATTGAACTACACTCGCGTTATTTTTGATAACAGTCTAATGCTATTGTTCATAAATTAAGAAAAATACGTTATTACATTATTACGTGCATATTACATAATATATTACGTATATTGTAAAGACTATCAGTCAAATGTTTATATTTTTCAAGTTGCAGTTTCTTTCGTTACTTCCTTTTAACAACTTTTTAAATTTTGCTTTTTCTCATCTTCCTTTATAGTAAATGTTTTCTTTTATTTCTAAAGATTCTATTTTAAATTAATATAAATATCTACCGGTCCTATCACAATTAAATTAAAATTTTTGTACAAAATTATAATGTGAGAGACGTACATATACTACGGATTTTATTTTATATTATATACGTGATAACTAGTTAGTATAATTTATCGTAAATGTAACATTATATAATCTCAAAGTTCCTGACTTCGATATTATGTTGTTGTAAACACAAATATGATGAACAGGTGAGTAATTCATGTACATTAATTAATTAATTGAAACATTGTAAACCGTATCGCATACCTATACACTGATTAAATTAAAATTCATAAAATTTTCGAACAAACACATTCTTTCTTATCTTAATGAGATTTTAATACAATATAAATTATAATTTCCTTACTAAAAAATAAATTATATAAATTAGTCAAAATTTACGAAAGTTGAAAGAGATTCCAAATATCTTTGAGATGGCTTAGTCATCTATAACTATACATGTATACGTGTATCATCACATTTCTTACAATTTGTTACAGGACATTTTACTGTGTCTTGTAATGAACACAGATCGGTTTATTTCTCTTATCACAATCCATTAGACATGTCTCCAATAAATATGCGGATTTTATTACACTTTTTCTTTTATTGTGCCGTACTTTATACATGATAGTTCGCGGGATACATTTTCCGTTAGCTTGTTTCGACAAATTTATGGCCGCATCCTACGTGATATTCTTTCCGTAATTCGATGTCTTTAAAAGCGCATTCGACTCTCGGGCATGCGTCTTGCCGAGTTGCATTACAGGAATGTGCTCCAATAGACGACATTAAGGATGAAGAACGAGAAGGGGAAGAAGAATCTGGAAACCTTGTCGATGTAAATGGCGGTGGCTCGTCCTTGGCAGCACTGCTCATACTGAACCGTCGGTGGCCTCGTTGGACTTCTGCTTCTTTCGGCATCCGGCCTCATTGGCGTCTGTGAGGAAAGACATAAGAAATGCATCGCACAGACGAACATGAAAGTAATAAAAAATTATCTTGAGGTTACATTTTATCTCGCTTTACGTTTCTCCCTTTTAATTACGTCTCTCCCTTATTAATCAAGACTATTACGAGGTAAGTAGATTATTATACTTACCTGCGGTTAATTGTTAGACAAAAAATATAATGATACATGCGATATAATTACATCGTTCGATGTAATATAAAAAAGAATTAGATTTACATTTATTATTCATTAATCGATTAATGGCTGTATCTTAATCCTTAAATCATGATTCGCAACGAATTTGCAATGTCGATATGTTACATATTAAAATTAATTCATTGCTATACTGTATTCAAAATTAATTCACTAGTGTAGTTATGAAATTAAATAAAAGTTTTACGAATATATAATATACATTTCTTAAATAAGATTCATATTAACTGAAGCATATCTTATATTTTTATAAATACGTTTGCGCGTAATGTGACAATATTATATAAAGGAATGATAATATGTATTTTGTAGCGAAATAAAATATCTAATATTTCTTGTTAATACAAATTCGGTTGCGAATCAAAGACAAGTCATTTAATAATCATAAAAAATGTATTTAACTGCATGAAACAGTGCGTGAAGTGACGTTTGCTTACCAACTATTAAAAAAGACGATATTTATTTCGTGCATGAACGTTTATCGTAAGGCAAGCAAGAGTAAGCGCCTGCAGTAGTACAAGTAAATATTGAGCGCGATGGATGTAATGAAAACGGGATTTCTACGTACAGAACGCGGCGAATTGCAAAGTCTGCGTAAGCTACGCAGAAGAAAGGGGAGAATAAATATTTCTCTGCGAATTGAGTGTGGAGCGAATGCATGTAATAAAATGAAACTTTGGAACTTGTTCAAGAGGGAAGTTACCAGAGGGAAGTTACTCGCCATACGATACGATGAATCGTCTAGGAAAGTAGTTGTACCTCGAGTAGTGTATGCCATATTTTCCGCCGCCGGTGCTGTTTACCGTGTAACATTCGGTTTCAGAAGTAAATATACGTTTACAAAAATCAATCGTTTGACTTTTCATATGACGAGTTTTCTGCTTTGAAACAGATAAGCAGAACGCTAAAAAGCCCAGTTCAAAATTTATACGAAACCTTTTTTCTGTATGTTGTAGAACCGCGGACGTAATATTTCCATACCTTTCCCCTTATTAAACGAAATGATATAACTTTATTATGCAATCTCGATGATTTACACAATCCCCGTGAACGTCGATAATTTATAACGGACGGTGGTTTACAACGCAGTGCCCTTTATTCCCAGCACTTTTATTCAATTGAGCGATATCGCATCGACAGGACGAAATCGCATTACTCTCGGCCGATGGTGCTGCGCATTTCGCTTTATCTGGAACTATCAATTTCGCGGAGCCGGTGGAGCATTCGTCGTAAATATCGTGTCGCGCTTTTTCCCGTTTACCTTGAAGTCGTCGATGGCCTCGCGAAGATCTTCGTCCGAGTACCCTTTCATGGCCTTCGTGGCGACTGGCCCCATGTAGTTGTTCACTACTGCGAATTCCATGAGGGACAGGAAGACGAACACGCTGCACGAAGACATCCACACGTCGATCGCCTTTACATACGAGACCGGCGGTAAGGACTGTTGAGATTGCGTGTTTTGAGTAGCTGAAAGAGAGATAGTAATCCTTAGTCCCTTATATGCACGGTTGTACTGGGTGTTAAAAAAGTTTCGACACGGTCGAACATCTCGATAAGAAAGAGTTTTACTAGAAAATGCTCCGATTATTGAAATTTTTGTGTATGTAAATTTTGTATATGTTACAATGCACAAAATTTTTCAATAATCGGAGCACTATTGCAAATAATGTGTCCAGACTTTTTTAACACCCAGTATGTATAAGTCAATTGACATAATCGTGTCCATTTCTATTAATTAAATAAAATATATTAATTTAATTATTCTCATTTTTATTGTTAGGTTTTCATAACTATTTTTAGGTATAGATATATTATTTACCGATTTAAGTTTTCAAAATATTATATTATTAAATAATTTATTTTTATGGAAACACAAAGTTGAACTTGTATAAATAAGCTATATTTTTAATTACTACATATCGAGCTTCATTTTTCTTTAATCTTTTTTCTCAATTACACGAAATATTTATTCGTGTAAATAATCTTGTTCGATTTTAGCTTATAATCGACAGAAATAAAATAATGGTTTTATATAAACTCTTTCTCTAAAGCCAAAGGATATTTATTACAGCCATTTTGGCGTAAGTAAATTGCAATTTAGCTGATATTTATGCCGTCATTAAGCCCCCGACAAAGCAGTCTATCGTGATCGCAAATATCATGAATAGTTATATCACGAGCAGTGAGAGAAGAGGTCGCCTAACCGAGGGTCAGCAGTGACGTCACGCCAAGGGTGACCCGCGCCGGGATGGCTTCCGGCTTGATCCAGAAGGCGATCCAGGACATGACGACGATCAGAGCGGACGGGATGTACGTGTGGAACAGGTGATAACCCAGTCTCCGGCGCAGATTGAAGACAATCTGTATGCACGTGAAGTTTCCGGTCGAGTATTCGATCGTGCAGTCAGTCGTGTAGTTGTTCGATATGTCGAGTTGCGGCAGCTCGATTTCCGGATTAACCACGAGGGGATCGGTCATGTTCCATAGGAATATCAGATCCTGAGTCGTGTGCGATACTGAAAAAAAAAGTAAAGACGTAGAAGAAAGCACGATGAAAGTAATATAAATAAATGTCATGAAAGCCGCAAAGCTTTGCATAGATAAACGGTCTTGATATTTTCATAAACTATGATTATTGGTAAACATATTTGGTATAAATACTTTATTACAATTACCGATAATAATCACCTAATGTAATTTTGTAAACAATAATTGTCACACACATGATTTCTCTTGTTTATTAATAGAAGAAATATTACAATTTATATCTGTACGATTTTATACATTTATATGTGTAAAGTGTCACGTTGATAATAAAATATGCGGCTTACAAGTTAATATACACTTACAGCTTTCGATCATCATCGAGCAAATTTGAGTGTCATGAGGATAGGACTCGAACTTCATTGCGCATGAGAGCACCAATGTCAATCTAAAATGAATATTGCGCTTTCCTGTATAATACAATTCATTAATCAAATTACAATTTATTATATGAGTATATTTTACTCGATAACGTTATTTTCACAATGACGAATAATGTTGAAGCCTCTCGCTACTTTTGTTTCCGATGAAACATATATTCGGAACAAGAGAAACTAAATTCGAATCATTTTATTGGCAATAAAATTTGACAGAATAGCACGGCAACTACTCGCTCCATCCGACACGAGGGATTAAAATCTCCAGTAGATAGAAATAAATGAAGCCGAGTTAGCTATAAACAAAAACTAAATAAACGCCAATCGAAATGTATCAAAGCGAAAGCTTTATGCGTATTGCATCAACATTTTTTAAGATTTATATGAGTCAGATTCTTGATTGATAATTGACAATAAATTGACATAAAATTGATTAAACTTTTATTATTAAAATTGGATAGTACAAAGAAATTTTAAAAAATTAAAATAAAACGTAGTAATGTATGAATAATATTTGCTTGCAATTTTGTAAGATGTATTTCGTAAAAATTCTAATCTTTGAATTTTTAGTATTATTATTTTCTTCTCTTATATTTTATTTAATTATAACTATTAATATTCCTTATTTTCCTTAGAGAAATATGTCGAAAACAAGAGTTTTAATATCTTTTTAAGTAAGAAACAATTTTAATTAATTATTCCTTATTTACATTCATGAATAAGTCATTATTGAAATGTTTTCTTTGCTTTTTTCATATACATGTTGATGGTATTTAATAACATCATAACAATTTGTTTAAAGCAATTGTCCTGTGGAAATCTCACTCAAACAAAAAGTCATAAAACTAAAAAATGATGAAAACCAGTATTCTCATGCGAGCGAATATAATTGCAGTTGGTGAAAACTTACTTTAATACATGTCTGGTACAAAAAATAATAATTTGATATTAACTACATATAAATAAGAGAGGGAGAAATATTTGTATAATATCATCATATCATATTGCATTAAATCTTCTCTAACTGGGACAGCGCTATGAATTTTAAGTCCTAATTTATCCTTATTAACTATTATTAATAAATTTTTAATAAAGTTTCAAAAGATACACATACATATATTTATGAAAAATTGCATAAAATCATATTCATTGCTAAATATTACAATATAATATAATAAAACAATAACTTGTAATAGATAAAATATGTAGACTTACTTGGACATGTAAAGCAACGTTTTATCGTGATACAACCAGAGATAATGGTTTGGTATCGACATCTCGTGGAAAGTAACCTTCTTCGCATTCTTGAAGAAGCAGTCGGGTCTCCAGATATTGTGCAACCAATCCACGTCAAGTATTCGATAATCCTCGGACATGTTTTCCGGTAGCCGCAGCCTAGAGTCCCGCCAACTCTGAGCGAGAAATATGTCAGCCACGTATGTCTGTTATCGTGGAAAAATAATGTAAGCAGATGTCACACTTCATGTGCGATCATATGCAGAAGATATAATTATTCCTTCTTTCATATGAAAATGAAATATTTCCTAACTCGTATGTGCTCTGCGATTACATCTCTGTCATAAATTTAAAAAAATTTTAGAAAACAATTCACAAAGCAGTATTGTTTATACGTAGTGTTTGCATAAACTTGTTTTATTTATTTTGTTAATTACTACAGTTTAAAAAATTTTTCTATCAAAAGAAAAGATTAAAAAATAAAATTTGGCTAATCTTTTTAATTAAGAAACCAATGTATTTGATATATTTATATGTGTATGTGCAACATAATATATTTTCTTTTTATAATATATGTAGAATTAAGATTAATATAAAAAGAAAAAAGTTTAGTAAAGTTTAATATGAACATAGCTGATGTAATATTTTGGGAGAATATTCGGTAGAACGAATTTTCCGGCGTGTAGCTCGGTCCTTCGCTCACCATCGATTCCTCATTTATCGAGTCCAGGCTGAGCACTGTCACATGAAAATAAACGACGGTGGGCTGGCCGAGAAATTTTGGTGCTCGGTGCTTATCGTATTGCTTCGGATTCAAAGGCAATATGTCTCTCAGCGATAAAGAAGTTTCCTTTTTCCCGTACTCATCGAAGTCCAGTTCTCTAAAATGTCAAAAAATGTTAGAACCGGCTTGAATAATGGACATTACATGCACATTTGCGTCTATTTGTTAAAGATTATATTGATTATACCACGACGAATCGTATTTAATGTGATCTTGAGAGAAATATATTTAATGATTTAGTTTATAAAAAAACTGTTTTTCACGAATACGATGTAATATATTTAAAAAATGTATATCTAACTGAATTAATAACTTACTAAAGCTTTTCAACTAAATTCTTGTTAAGCAAAAATTTATTGTAAAGTAGTAAAAACACTGCAAATAAATAGAAATGCTGAAGGGCATGCGTAGGAGACCACGTCTCCTAAAAACACACTTATATAAATTTAATTTCCTTTTTCATTCTAAAAATCATTAATCATTGAAATGTATTTTTTTAACAAAAATATTTAGCGCATCAAGATTAATACTTGCATCACAGATAATGAAATAGTTTTATTGAAAATTATTAAGTTACATACCGTTATAATTTCCATATTAACGCAAATTATAAAAATATGTGATTATATTCAATGATCGATTCGAACGAAACATATTCGTGGAAACTTGATTTAAAATCGCCTTATATCATTGTGAAACCCGCCAAGCCGACAACCTAACGAGACTTTCAAGAATTTTCTCACCTACGTCTATTTAGTATAACGTTTATGGATGTATGGTTATTATTATGGAATAATATATGGGTAGGTCATTGAAGTTGGGGCCCTCTAAAATGGCAAACATTACGAAACAATAATAATTACATTGCTAATTACAATTAAGTACTTCATAATAATTATTTCGCGTATTTACGAATATCATTAAATAGAAATGTGCAAGAAAATTAAATTCACGTATTGCTTTATATCACACTTTTGCGTGGTTGCTGTATAATAATAGACTGAATTGTTACTCGCTAATTGTGACAAAAGAGAAAAAAGAAAGTATAATAAAAGCGTTTCGTTCAGTCAATTTCCAGTAATGACTTTAAAAGTTAAATAATAGCTATAACAGCGATATCGCTGGTACAGCGATTTTTATGGCAGCATCGATGACACTCATAAATTATTCACAGGCCACAAGAACTGGGTGCGCGCGGTCTGTTGGCAGTTTCATTATTACAGAGTGGATGCTATTTTTCTCAACCGGGTCGGTCACGTCGATGCCACGATTGCTAACCGCACAACTTTCTTTGTTCAATTAGAATGTGATTGCAGTATTGATTGAAAAATAAATGCCTCGGAGAATGCGGTGTGAAGGCGTGATATACACCTCTTATTAAATCACAACGCGTTTATAATCTGCGTCATATATGTCGGTAGTATACGATCTGGTGTATGATGCAAATTGTGATGCAATAGATATCACAATGCAAGAATAATGAAACGTGTAGCTGTATTTATTTTGTACAAGATTTTCATCGGCATTTATATAATTTACAATTGAGCTCTAATAATTTTCCTTTCTCTATTTTTACATTGATCATCGAAAATATTCCGTTACGCATTGTTCTCTCAGCAGATTCTTTTTACGAGAATTATCAGAATGAGAAAGTACAATTTAAAGAAAGGCTACAGGTAAAATATTATTTTAATCGGGAATGTTGATCTTGAAATCTTGTAATATCTGGAATAGTTGTCCGGCGAGAGAAAAGAAGTGTACTCACGGAAAATGCGGGGCAGTCATGTCGAGCAAGGCGTATAAGTAGCAGAATATGATCAGCAGAAAGTGCCACGTCATTCCTGAAGAGAGCAGAGAGTATGGAGAATGATACGAATGGCCCAAAGAAAGAGCGGTGCATGCAATGGAATATGCAGAGTACGTCATAAAGAATTCATCGACGGGAGGGATCGATGAGATTTTGAACTCGCGAACATCAAAGAGACTCCTGTCCTTCTGTGAGCGGAAAGATGTAAGTTACGTTCATTTCTTCGCATACAGATCTATTGTTATCCCAACATGACTGTATAATTAATTCAATTTTTAACTCGATTGACACGAAAATCTCGTTTGCCTTTTTGTTTTTTGCCGATAGTGCTGCATATCGACGACTGATAATAGACAATTTGTTACGTCCGTTACTCTTAATTTATTCAAATTATACGAATTTGTCTATTGTAAATTGTAAATTAACTTCCATACGTAATTTAAATGCACACAATGTAATGGAATAGAAAATAATACGTTATAATTATTTTATAATACACTAGATACATATATTAAATGTTAAATTATAGTACATGTAATGTTAGATGTTTAATAATCTTGCCTTGATTAAGAAATTTTATATAAATAATACAATTTTTCATATTAATCTCGTAAAGAATTATTTGACGCCAGTATATGATTAACCAATGTAGAAAAATTGTTAAACGACGCCAACTGGCAAATTCTATAATTAAAGAAATTTATTGCGAAAAATATTACCTCAGCCACAGTTTGAACCTGAACTTCCCTACACTCTAAGCGGGCATCTCACCAATAACATGCCTCAGTTGTCGAATTGTTGAGACGCCCGCTTAGAGTGTAGGAAAGTCCAGGTTTAAACCCTGCCTGAGGTAATATTTTTCGCAATAAAGTTCTTTAATTAGAATTTGCCAATTAGCGTCGTATAGCAATTTATCTACATTCATATTTATCTGTTATTAAAATTTCCGCTTTCTCATTAATCCTTCAACATATTTCACGGGCCGCTTCCTGCCTTGTGTCTCTCGTTTTTTAATTTTATGGCACTTCACACGACGGTTTCCCGATCCAATTTTCCACTCACCGATCAACTACACATTCTATCGTTCGGAAATCCGGCGAATGCTCTCGACGAAGATCGAACGGAAGTTGTTAGCCGCTCGCCCGAAAATCTTTCCCACCGGACGATCACTTCCGCTTCCTCGTGGATCAATGAACATCTGAATTACATCTAAACATAGCGTCTCTGAACGAAGCCATTGACGTAGATAGATTTTGAAAATTTTGATGAGTCACGTTGTCAACATCAATCATTGATTATTATATGAACCTATTGAATCAACAGAAGTTATTCTTATCAACGACTTTTACCAATAATGATATCTCGCATTGAATTCGCTCTCGATTGGTATATTCGTTTTAATAATTGTTATTTAATGAATTCACCGCTTTTGTTTGAATAATATTCTGTAATCTAGGATTAATTGCTTATAAAATATCTAAGAAGTTAATTCAAATTTCTTCGAAAGATATCTATCGACACGTCAGCAATGTGCAATAAAAATACAAGTGGCTATTTAACTGTTGTTTTAAATTATCCTGCATAAAATGTGTTTAAAAAAATTATTAATAGATATTAATAATTTTTTTAACTAAGAGCAGTTATCTTTCTCTAAAGAGTGTTGTATGAAATTAACAAATTTATACAAATGTGTACATATCTGTAAACATATAGACTTATAATAAATTGAAAATTATGTAATATATTACATAAAAATAAAAAGTTTATACCACAATAAAATAATTTTTTAATTCAGAAAAGAGTAGTTCTAAGTATAAATTATTCTCTTATAAACTAAGGACTTATAAACAAAGGAAATAATCATAAAAGAATATTTTAATAGTATACTAAATGTCATACACAAAGTACGCAAAAGTAAAAATTTTAAGAAAGTGCAGGCTTAATAATTGTAAGATCAAACAAACGATTGACTTTGTATATATTTAGGAAGATTTCAGAAATATTTAGAAATATGTATTCTTAAACACATTTTGAACTCAATAATCGAATAAAGAGAAAAAGATACAGCTGCTAAAGATTTGGTATGTGTGATAAAATAAATTAGAAATATTATATTTTAAATCCGCCATCGGAAATCATGTAAGATTAATTATCTTTTCAATTTCGCACGCGACATTCTCTACAAATTTTGAAGACGACTATAGACCTGTTCCACGACTGACTCATCTTCTTGTCAATTTTGATTTAAAGTACGTTGAAAACATTATTGATACCTCGATGGCGTTTCAATCCGCAAAGTCTGCCAACATGCGAGGCTTCCGTTGTCTCTTTTAATCACGATCTTCGGAAACGTCGAGGAAATGTCGAGGCACGACGCGGATTTTATCGCGTGTTCGGTACTCCAGATTCGTCATACGGAAACTGGCCATATCGCTGCACTTTCTTTCTCGCTGTCCGTAAACCACCCTGACGCTTGGCTGTCTCTAAGCCAATTTGCCTATCGACAAACTGATTAAGCCCTACTCTCTTTCATCTGCAGTATCGTGTAACATCTAAGCACGTGGATTCGAATTAGAGATTCTTCAATTTTTCAATTAAAAGCATGTCGGAAAAAGCGGTAAGGTAAGCGAGTGTAAGAAGATGAAAATGAGTCATGTTTATTATCTTAATTTTTATATATCGCAAAAAGGTCCATCAATTTGGGTAAGTATTCCAAAATAATAAACACTTTATTTAAAAAAAGCTAAAAAATGAAGTTGTTTTTAACTAACTTGTTAACTACACAATTTTTATTAACAATATACACGTATGTATATGTTCTTAATCCTTGGCAATTCCTTTTTCATTTTTATCGATTTCTTCATTTTTCACTATACTTTTACAAAAAGTATGCATTTTATTCAAAGACTTTTGTAAAAAAATAAAATTGTTTATACAGGTATTTACTTTATACAAACGCGTATTTAACGATATAATCGATATTTTGAATCTAAAGTTTTATTCAACCAATTCATATTTTTCCAATCGAATAGCTTCAATTAATGTTTAATAAAAAGAAACACTTGTGATTTTAATAAAAATTTCCATTTATCTGATACATTTTTAAATAAAATAAACATTATTTATAAAAATACGTCTTTTATATCAAACTTATCGACAAAGTGATTGTCGTCAAAATAATATCGACGAAGCAACGTGCTAAAATGAGATCCGCTATCGCCATCTGATTGCGAATAGCATACATAGCATACATTGTAACTACCAGAGGTTTCTCTCTGTAACTACCCAACTAACTCGAGAAATCGTTAGACTTGCTTTTTTGTATTTAGCATTGATTGTACAACAATTAACCTTCATTTTGATAGAAATAATGTAAAATCGTTAAATATTTCGGAATTATGTGTTTTTCCGAACATATTTGCAGTCGATACAGAAGCCTTTCCCTTTTACTAGAAGCTGCTAACTAAATGTTCCTCGGATATACGGTCGGCAACGGCAGATTTATAAAGAGGAGAAAGAGAAATTGAATCAAATGAGATTAGTTTGAATTGGTTAATAATCGATTTCTCTATACAAGATTGAACGAAACAGCTGCTTATGTCTTCACAAATAAAGAAATAAAGCTTCACTGGTAAGTTAAAATTTTGTTGATAGCTCACAAATGAAATACAAGAGGACACTTCTGTACAGGCTCTGAAGTCAATTAATAATGGCCTCGTTATTTGAATGATTAGCAAGTTTCTAGCAATTGTAAAAGAAACAATTTGCTTCTTCTTACATCGGTGAGAAATTTTGTGAAATAATTAAATTTTAACATATTTTAACATTTATATTTAATAATAGATATCTACAACATCTATAATAATATATTTTATTATTCATATTTAATAATATCTGCAATTAATTATATTCATACCGAACAAAATTTAATGAATAAATGGAATTGAATTAATTAACATTTCACTTTTAGAAATTATAAAACTGTGCATATCGCGCAAAATTTTGCATTAGCTGTTTGACTTTTGTTAGCATTTACTGTCTATTGTTTCTCAGTATTATATTAATTATTTATAGTTAAACATTATAATAATGCACAATAAAGGGGGATGTTTGGCCGCGTGCCGAATAAATAAACGACAGTTTCAGTGGACAGGATTTTCCTGCGTATTTATATCAGATCATACATGATTTCCCCAAGATAATTCTTGGAAGCTGCGCATCACCGCGCGATCGACCCGCTTCGCGAGCTCTCGTATATTTCCTGTCGCGAGAAAAAGCGTAAAAAAGAAACTGAACCTACGCGAAACCAGGGTAGAAATCCGGATATTGGCTGGCCTTTCCTACGAGGCCTTGATATGTTCAATTGGAACCACCATCTTTATCCTCGGCTTCGAGCAGTGAAACTTAACATTTAATTCCTTGCGTCTTCTAATTGTTATAAACATCTTTTATGACAAAAGATTAAATTATAATAAAGAATCATATGAATACTGAATTACAGTATGGTCGATATGTCTAATCTTATCTTGTCCGACGTTTAATATTGTATAAAGTGTATAAAAAAACGCAATATACATTTATTTTATATGTTTAAATTAATCAAGTTTGATAATTCAATTTATTTTGCTAGTAAATTTTACTGTGTAATCTGAAGTAACTTAGAAAGGACGCAAGGAATGAATCAATTACAATAACTAATAAGTAAACAAGCAGCCATTGTAATTTCGGCGATTCACTCGTCTTCCTGTTTCACTTGTGGTAAAATGTTCGAAACTATGGCTGGCATAAACAACTCCGCGGGTCTTCGTACTTCGCAATTGCTTAATAACTAAACTAATACATTTTAACGTCTTAATAAGGTTCTAATTAATATTAATTGTATTATTGCGACGTGAATCTCGAAGCACGAGGCTGGAAGAGGATGACGGATCGTTGGATATGACATTGTAATTGACGGTTACAGATTGTTCTATTCGTTTGCATCGTAACGCTGCAGAACTTTAAGCCTTTATGCATCCAATATAAACAAGATCATTGTACAAAGTTAAGTAACATTTTTTCATTTTGCAATACTAATACACGGTTGTAAATATTAAGATTTTTATAATACTAAAATGTCTTCCAAGAAGTGTGGTAATATGATTCTTTAAACTTTATTAAAATATGCGAAGAAGTTAACTTCTTGTCATTATTTTTCAGTTTTATTTACTACAGATTTTAAGAACGAGAGATATGTATTTGATAATATTATATATGTATACTTCAATTAAATATTTTTGTATTACTTAAATGCGTAATGATACGTGTAGTTCGTAATTGATATCGATGCATACGGCTTAAAGACGCGCACAGTGAGAATTCTGTAATTTAGTAATATTTGTAGTATAATATAATATATGTAATAATACTTATTGTAAATTATTTGATACGTATTGCGGTCATAGTTTTTCTTCTTTCCCGTTTTAACGCGACATTTCTTTGATAGCGCTACATCGAATAACAAAGTCACTCTATGAAAGTATCTTCAATAGGCAACGCCATTTTTAGAGCATTGCAACAATAAATGGTGAACATTGTATTTTTAGATATTAAAAGAATTACCTTTGTAAAATTACTATTCAAACGTTCCTCTTTTATCTTTATTATAGAACTCAATTTATTAAGATGTGACTGACGCTTCTTCAGTTATCTTAACAAACCAGTCATCAATTATTATAATCATTGAGTTCCGGAAATCTCGTGGCTGGAATTGTAAACTTTTAAAACCACTTTGTAGCATTTTGACAATTTCCACAAACTCAGCTTTGCTCTTTCTTTAAGTGAATAAAGAGAGAGTTTTGTTTAATTAAGGACGTATCTTATTGATCTAGCGGCCAATGCACGGTGCTCTTAAAGAAATACGGATACACTCGAATGCAGTTTCATAAACGATCGTATTTGTTTTCGAAGTCAATTTGCATGATTCGAACGTTTTTGGCTGTATTTACGCACGAATCGATTGTTGAAATCACTCTCTCTGTATATATTTTTGAAGATAATTCATCAGACTGACGACAGACGAGAAATTGCGGAGCATCCTGCAAAGGAATGCAAATTCTCACGACAATCGTGCTCGGCAATCGTGCAGTTCGCAACAGTCCATGTACAATGTGATACATGAGGAAGTTAGAATTCATACGAGTCGTACGAAGACCCACGTCCGCAGCTTGTCTGGAAGAATTAATACCGTAAGCAGAAGTTACTTTACAATCACGATATTACTTTGTTAAGGAGTTCGCTTGAGAGAATAATCGTTCGTTCTCTCTGGCGTAAATTAGAGATTAGTCAGGATACAATCGAAATGCTTGTGAAACAATTTATAATAAAACTTTTCAATGTAGTGCAGAACAACGTCGATTTCATAACTAGCAACATAATTTTTAGAGAGTCGAAGGCTCCTCTGAATTTGAAAAAAAAATTTTAAGTTTGAAGTTTGACATTTATATTTGACCGTTGCTTCCTTATATTCCGTCAGCGATGAGTTTATCAATCAATTTATTAAATTGAACAAAATGAAATTATAGACAACGACCAGGTCATAATGCTTGTAAAACTAAACGTGTCACATCGTCTTGTGAGCTTAGTAATCAAGCAAAATGCAATATAAACTTTATGCGGAAGCAAGAGGCGGCTAAGTTTGAGGAACATGAGGAAGTTTACCAACTCTCTCAAGTGAGATCGTTGCATCAGTCACATCGCCACAAAGTAACATCGCAGTCACAAAGCAAGCTCTTTACAGTAACGCCGTACTCTCCGACACATCCGTTGCATACACTCACGCACACACATTCTCACGCACACACACACACACTCTCGCACACTCGCAAACACACACCGTGCGCGCGATCTCGCATGCATGCGTAATTATTGCATTGCCCTCGCGTCATATTTTTTTTTTACAGTTTAGCAGTCACTCTCACGTTCGCACGAAGCACGGAAATTAGTAAGAATAATGTGGTAAAGTGTTACGATGTAAGAGATTAGAGGGTCATTTGAAATTAGTCGGAGAAGAATTATCTTGTCGATAAAAAAATGTCCACTCCGCAATTATGCCAATTGAAATCTTCGATGTTACACTCGTCATTTTTTAAATTAATTGTAAGTTATTTCAGGATGAAATCATAACACGACAGAGCAGGACAGCCGATGCGTTTTGCTATATTTGTGAGATCTGCGGAATGGCTCTCCAGCAAGGTCGCTATCTCATTATCGTTGACCGTCGAAATCGCGATTTCTCGACGTGCACGTGTATCTAATGCGCAATACGTTACGGAGAGTAATTAGGCCGCGTGCAGTCCCGACTTTGGCGTCGGATATTTGATTATCTGATTCAGCTGGACCGTATGAGATGGTCATGAATAGATACACGCGCAGCGCTTAGCGTACATTAATGATGATTACGCGCGTATGTTTCGTACAATCCAAATGTTTGTTGAGTAAAACAAGGAGCTGCAAGATATTATTCGTAGCAAGACGTCTGGAAAAGATCGCAAATACAGCATGATCCGTGGAATACGAAGAGGGAATTAAAATTGCAAAGAAAGAAAGAGAAAGGCAGAGGCACTCGATAACTAGACAGAGAGAAAGTACATCTTGTACGTAATATGAAAAAAGGAAATTTGCCAATAAGAGATTGGACACGGTACAATCAAATATGCAATACTAATTTTGTATAGAAAAGTATCTCGTAGTAAAATAGAATTTGTCTTCAAATATGTGACCGAGGTATCGATATCGTTCCACTCAACTACCCGTGCTTCGTGGAGGAAAGTTGCATCCGTTGAATGCAGCAGTATTAAAGCTACTCGCCCTCTTAGCGACCAGTGCGTCAAAAGTACCTTGCCAGTGAGTAGTAATTGAGCGTAATGGTTCTTATCGGCTGATTCGTGCGTCTATAACTGACGATCTAGGATCGTCCACGGGCATTATTTCCGCGCAGTTATTTACATTCTGATGCAGCGAGCGCAAACTTGGAGCAAACTCCGCCGAGTCCGCGAGTTACACCATTTTCGGGATACCCCGAGGTCGATCAAGGCTGAATAGTAGGGTTCTCGAAGGATGGCTAGCGGCAAGCGTCCAGGTGAAAATGCCGGCGCGATTTTGCAGGCACGATTTAATTAATTATTAATTAAAATATAGACACGATTAAATGTGCGGAATTAATTCACGCGCGACATTTCCATAGAATATAATTGGCGAAAATACACAATTAAAATACAACGAATTAATATGGGCATTAAATTAACGAAATCATAATTCAGAGCAATAAAATATGCAATTTGCATTTCTATCAAATGTCATATTAAACTAATTGAATTGTACCCCCGTTAAATTCTTTATGCGTGCATTATAATCGCGCATGCATCTTAATTAGGTATATCCATAATGTATATGTAATAATCAATGGCCCAAGTACAAGACACCCCGTGCATTTGTTCGATATGAATAACTCGTCGCATTTTCGCATAAACCGAAAGAAGACCCCTTCAACCTTGATCCACGCTTCTTGCGAGATTTTCGCGTTTGGTCCATGTCTTCGAGATCGATCGAGTTCATCGAGAGAGTTGCATCGCTTTTCAATCGATCGTCCCCGAAGAGCCGATCTCGCCGCCACTGAAACGATTAATCTCGCCGCTTTCTAACTAATCAACATATATTATATCCTGTCTACGTGCGCGTATGTATAATGTGACATTAACATCTTCCGTCCCTTTCAACGACGTGTCCGCGATTCATAAATTTTATACATTATTGCTTTTCCACGTCGCGCACGCACAATCCGCCTCGCGCTTTTTCTCGCTTCAGGTTATTCAATAATTTTAATTTAACTAAATTGTCATCATTTAATAAGACTTTTTTTTCTACTTTATTAAATAGAACTTATTAATTAAAATTAATAAACGCGCCAAGAGAAGAGAAATTTGTCAGCGTTGCGCCAGACGGCGCATAAATCTGATTTAATTCTTATTTTTTCTTGTACCACACTTCTGTTTACTTGTTAGATCTTTAAATTGGCAAAAATTTGTTAACAAGATGAATATACATGGCTAGGCACAGGTTAAAATAAAGCAAAATTTATTTAAGGGAATGATTGTGCTTGATCATAATTTTTGCTGTGCAACGAGATCGGGAATAATGAAATTACGATACACATAATAATGCGAATTAAATTATAACACGGAGTAATTACCGTGAAAACCGAATGCGAAAGAACGAAATGGTTTTCACGGCCTGCATTCGCGCGTTTGTAATCGCTTTATAATCTGTGGTAATAGCGCAATTTATATTATTATTATTTAATGTAATATACAATAAATGAGGGAAGAGCGCGGGGAACGATTGGCACGCACAAACGCACTCTCGTGTTTCGCACGCAGGACTCACACGCACACAAGGCGGTAGTTACACTCGCGCCTAGATCGACGAATGCCACCTAATTGAATTGTTGTATTACAACTTGTCGTCTAATTCGCACTTGTCGTCCATGTACAAACAATATCGCAGCCAGAACGCGCTGGCTGTCCGTCTTTATCTCGCATTACCTATATTTATATTTATTTATTTATATATATATATATGTATATGCACTTACGTAACGTATATTTATAGAGTATATCGTATGCATAGAAGGGCTCTATTTATTTGCCGTATTGTTCCTGCCGCTACATTGTCTAGCGAGCTTTCGTTAGTTAACTCCGGCGGCTCCCGGATTCGCCTGAAGCTTTAGCGCAATTATAATCCTCAAGATCCCGTCCAACAGATTCTCGTCACTTTATTCGGCTAGCAGGAATCACAAGGACGACGGAAGTGGAATCGTTATATTCGCCTTTCCATCAACGACTCTTTATCTCTGTATCAATACATTTCGGGAATTAGTCTCGTCGTTTATCGATTATTACTTTATTTTAAATAATGGAACCAAAGAGGCGGTTATATATATTTAATAAACGAATTATAGAGAATGTAAAATCGGACAAAAAGTATAAATATTTTGAGTTTTACATTTTGCATATAATTGAAAAAGGGATTGAAAATTTTATTGATAACACGATACGCTTACTTTTGTTGCATTTTTTGCAACGAGTTGATCGTTTCCTTATGAGTGAAGAATAGCGTAAATATTTAAGCCATAGATAACCTTGTATTGAAAAATAATTAAGAAGAAAGGAAGAAAAAATTGCCATTGACATTTCATCATTAAATTTACATTTAGCTACTCTACGTTTGCGATCCGTGGTAATTGAATCTCGACACATTTAGGAATTTCATTAGATAAAACGTAATTAAAGCATTTTCGTTCGAAATAAATTAATGACGGGGCTTTATCGAGATTCGATGCTAACAAAATAATATCGCCTCCGATTCTTGAAACGCTGAACTCGCCACGCTTCGGTATCGTTTGGAAAAGATGGGTGGGGTAGTGACGCGAGTCTGTCGCAGCGAGGGATAATTATCGGGAATCCCGAGGGTTATTAATCGCCGGTATCGAGATTATGATCGAGCCAGCGGGAGGACTTCTCCGGCTGCTGAATAATTCTAGCTCGTGAATTTCTGAGTAATTTGTAAATGTCAAGCGTTCGGCCGCCGTTTACAAGTTTTCCGCTTCGTATCCCCCTTCTCGTCTTCCGGGCTGACAAATCGACCGTTTATACAGGGTGCCTCCCACAGTCACGAACTATTGACATTGCGCGCCGTAATTACGGAGACGCGATGCGAGGTGCCGCGCCGTTTCGCATTGATATGCGCCGCCCTTATCGGCGCCGTCGGCTAATAAAATAATCGATGACACGAACGTATGACGGATAATAGGAACGATCGAAGAGAAGAAAGGTACACTTACATCGAGCGCACCTCGTGTCTAACGAAGAGACACGTCGTTCCCTCCTCTTGTTATAAGCAAAAAAAGAAGGTCACGTTTATAAAAGGTTCGATTAACGCTACCAGTTTCATTGCGTAATGAGCTGAAAATTCGATTGTCGGACTTGTGTCGATTTCTCTAAATCTATGTACGCGATATTATCTAGTTCCGAGGCCATTTAGCGAAGATTTGATTGGACGTCTTGCCTCTCCAGGACTTAGATTTTCTAAGGCACCCCGTACATTTCTACGGTGATTGGGTATTTACAGCTTGAATATATGTACAGGTTGAAAATGAGGGAAATGAAAAGAGGGGAGGAAGAAAAGAATTCGAGGACCGTCTGTCGAGATCGACTCGGGATACTTCGTATACATCGGTACGACTTTGAAACTTGAAAACGAGCGGGCCACGATCGATTTTCTCGCTCGACTCGCATTTCCCCGGGCTACCTCTATTACACACTTTTTTTCCCCCATGCTTACGTCGCTATCAACAATCTACATTTATCTACACACTCGAGCCTCTCGTGACGCGTCGCATAGACGCGCGTGCTTTAGGTTTAGATTTTCAACTTTAACAAACACCTAATGGTCCAGTACGGGAGGAGGTTTGCGCTGCTTGGCCGTTAATTATACAGTAGATTAGTGCTTAGCCATTTATACAGACTGCCTCTCGCATTACGGTCGATTTATTACACACACGTCGTACTCTCGTACCGAACGATCGCGAATCGCGCACACCGCTTTCCGCTCCTTCTCTCTCGATCTTTGACGATTCGATTCTATGTTCTGTTTCAGCTTCACATTTCGGGATGCCTCTTGAGGCCAACTTCGAAAAAGTGCGAGACTTTTAACGTCCTTCCTTGACCTTTTTTGTTTGTTTGTTGGATTAATTTTGCCAAGATTGCCGCTGTCGCGTCGAAAGCGCGAATTAATGCAAATTGTTTGGTTTCCATTTCGGACTAACATTGTAATATAATATCAACAATATTATAATTGTGCGAAGAGTTTCAACGTTTAAAAATAAAACACTTCGAGTGTGTATATATGTTATATTTTTATTCAACAATTTGCAACAGAAAACGTTCCTATCTAGTCACGGACTTTGTGTTAATTATCCGCTTTTCTAAGTAATGATTGTAATCTTATCTGCCAACACGAGATTGGGCATTCAGAACATTAATTTTATATATACATTATATATAGAATATATATAATTTATATATATATATATATTGATTAATCTCGATAGAACGTAAAAATCTCGATTACTTGTTTTTCAATATTTCTCTGTTTCCATATATCATTAATTATTCTCCGCCAATCACTCGCCCGTAAATCATTAATGTAATCAAACATCGTTAGTACCGCGTACGATTGTTAATGGTCAACTTGCGATGCAACTCGTGTCCAAGTTACGTCGGTTGCATGTCGATCGCGCGGCCATCTCGTCGCAAGACACTTTTGACGGCGGAATTGTCGAGCGCGTAAAATGAAAACACAAATCGACGATTTCTACTTGATTTCGCGCATTTGACAAATGTATTCCGTGTCAATCTCATTTCCGTATCAAGCTCGACCTCAAAGCGGCGTCGATCGTCCAGGGCATCATCGATCATCCGTCACTAACCCTTCGAGTACCGAGTAGTGCAATAGCACTGTTTTTCTATGGAAGGTATTATTACAGTGCAACTGCAGTATCTTCTGTTAGGCACACTATTTTCAGATGTCATGTTCACATACATTAGCATCTATAGTAAATGCTTTCAAAATGTTGAAACGTGCAATGAATATTTCATTAAGTTACGCTTGAATTCGCCATTTTCTCTATAATAAGTGTTCTGAAAATAAAACTAGGTAATCCCCCGAAATCGGTAATCTCAGTGCAGTTTAAAGATGTGCTATATTCTTCATCGGTGCCTTAATAACTTTTATATTTATCGTAAAAATGAACGATCGAAATAAAAAATATATACCTATGTACATTTCATTTATTCTCAATAAGAGCATATTTTTCCCCGCTTAGGATTTTATCTCGGAAGAAAAATAATTTTTGCCTACCGCATTCATGTTAATTGTAGTAATCATCGCATGTTCCAAGGTTAAGTCCGAAATCCGTATGAGCCGTGACGGTCGAAGAGTTAAGGACAAGGCTCGAGGGCGCTCTGTCGAGGTGCAGTGTGTAACAAAAATACCATTAAATATCAATATATAATTTAGTAATAGCTTCAACGGCGCGGTGAGCGATCCGCGATCGGCGGGAGCGTGTGGGGATCGCTGTGCGGAACCGCCGATCGAGCCCTGCGATCTGTCGATCCGCACAGGCGATCGAGGGGAAGGCGGGGATTTCTTCCCTTCGTTGATCTGCGCCCTTCAAGGCCACGAGTCCTCTCTCGCCCGGGTGGATCCCGCAGTCGGAACCGTTGCTACCACGCGACACGTGGCGATCCCCCGCGAGGGGGACACTCGATATGGACTCCTCGTCGTGTCTTCATGTCCCTGTCACGAACCGAAGAGACATGTCGACCCGAAGAGACCGATTGCGAACAGAACGACGAGGAGCGCCGGCGACAATCTGGAAATCGCCGCCTCGTTGCTGTACGGCATCTTCACTTCAACCTCGGCCATCTTGAAGATCGAGAGCAGCGGATGCATGTGCACCTCGTGGTGTTTATTGTTGATCTTGTCGCTGAGATCTTGCATCATCGACGCGCACTCCTCCTGCAAATCGAGCACTTCGATTAGCGCGTTTACTTCGAATTTTCGTCTGAAACGTTCATTTCATTTCACTAAAGTCTGACGTGACATTTGAGAAATTATTAAATGATGGCAACTTTTGTATTCATTATGAGACAATCGTAAGAAATACTCGATTTCTAACATTCCAACATGTTTTTGAATTGATTGTCGTCCCAACTTACGGATATATTTATTGTTATTCGTATTTATATTTATTACTTGGAATTTTTATTTAAATAAATATTACAAACAGAAAAAATTATGTACCTATCTTTCCCAATACTTTTGTTTATAACCAACTGCTAAGTGTGTGCGTAATTGTATAATAAATTTACATCGTGGCGAAATAAATAGATTAAAACCAATAAAAGTTTCGCTTGAGAAGCGCGTACGTTTTGACCGAGGTGTTCGTGGAGCGACGATAGTCTTGGTAAATTCAGGATCGTTTGTAACGACCAGAATAAATCCTTGGCGAAAGTATAATCTCCGCGAAAGCACGCGCGTTTTCCGTTCCACTATCAATAGTTGTTCCGCCAGAATTCGAGTTTTCCCCCGAATACGACTTAACGACGTCGAATGTAGCCCCTCCCCCTTTATCCTGTACCTCTTTCCAGACAGAATCCGGCATCGATTTCCATTTTCAACCCTCTCCCGCTACCCACCCGCTGCGCGCAGTCCTTGTTCCCGTCCCCAAAATTACCCTCGGCTCGTTGAATCTTTAATTTCCGGCGTAGGAGTCCGCGGGGTTGAGAGCGATTTTTGGTGATATCTTTCTGGTGCGCCACGTGGCCCGACCAGATTTCTCAACGCCCGGCGTTTCATTCGCTCGTTTCGTGCCGAGCGAGGTTTTCAATGAGATTAAATTCCGCGTGGAAGCTGGAATCTTGCGCGAATAACTTCCCCGTGACGAGCCGGTGTAGCTACCAGCGTGGAATGAAACTTTCGACGAGTTCGACCATGATATCTTTGGTGCTCAGAAAAAAGACGCGAATCGTCCAACTTGAGATGTGTCTTCAAGCAATGCGTTAAAAGTCGTTGTAAAATTAAATTTAACATACGTCGCGTATCAACGGGATTTATGATCTTAACAGTAATTTTATAACGTAAACTCTATAAAACTTTTGCTCTCTCTCTCTCTCTCTATTTAAATTTGAGAAGAGTCCGCTGAGATTTTTTTTAGAATTATAACGCTCTGATATTAATGTATATTAGATGCTATCTTTTTGATATTCTCCTAGTTATTATTTCCCTTTTCTTCGAGATACGTACTTTATGTAATATTTGATACGTGAGGACAGGAAAGATCTCTCTCTGACTGTGAAACAATATTGTGATATACTCGCGCAGTCGATAATTAACTCGCAACGTGTGAGAAACTCGGGTCTACAATTAGCACCAGCCAATACGTAAAATGAATTATCACCCTGGGCTTTTGTCCGGCCATGCTTGGATCATTACTGCTCCGCGCAGTTCCATTCAATTAGCCTAAAAACCCAACCAGGCACACTCAACGTGTTTCGCGTCTTCTTTTATCCGTGGGTTACGTCCATTTTGCAGTAAAGTGTAAGAAGTAGCTGTATTCAAACACTTAAAACAGCAGGTACATCGTACAGAATTAAGAAAAATTAAATTTATATCTCGGATCAACAATTTAAAAAATCGCAAAAATATTGGAAATCTCCGTGCAAATCTGACTACTTTCTGCACAGCTGTTCGTTGGATTAAATATCATCATTTAAAATAGGATAGAAAATGTAAATTATACATTTCTTTATGGATTTATTAAATATACTTTTATATTTTCTTTATTTTTATTAGATATTATATAAATGTAAAGAGTATATTTTTCTCCAATAGAATAATTAAATTTACATTTAAAAATAATACTTAGCTGTGAATTTTCAATTATAAAACTTAACGGACGAGTTTATTGTTTAAAAGTTCGGCTTTGTATAATTCGTGCATTAAATAGAGTGGACGAGATACGTGAAAGTAGCTAGTTACTTACTCTGCTTTTTGCTATATCATCATAATTTTGTTACGTGAAGAAGTCGACGAAGCTTTTAATTGCCATGTGTGTTTCCGTGTGCTCGGTTTCCCTACCAGAATAATCCGGCTTTGAATGCAAATGTGTGGCGTGACTTTTTTTTCCATTGGGATTATCCGACAGATTCGCAACAGTATTGCGCGCTGCGGATATGTAACTACTACTTTTTTACTCCGCGGATTGCGCTGCTTATCTCCCATCGTACTTCAACATCGGCCGACACGCGTTTAATTTTTCCCCGGATAATATTTTATTTAATCCGGTTTCGCCGTGAAATAATACATGTATGGTACGTAATGGTCTTCCACGAGAGCCTCGTTTGTTTCTGCAGTAAAACATTTGTTTCACAGTAGAAACGTCAAATAATTCAACATAGAGACTTTAATGTAGTTAAATCGAACCAAACAACTTTTAAAATTCAAGCTAAATTATTTCATAGACTTTTGCTCATTTTGGATTATTCCTGGTTAATTCAATTATTGAAGATATTTGGTAAACGATATGTTTTATTTGCGAGGCAATGATATAGTAATTATATTTTAATATTCTTCTCATTTCTTAAATGATACCACATTTAGATGTTCGTAATATTGGATAAGATCTATTAAACGTGAGAAATGATGATATATCCAATTATATCTTTCACGTATTTAAATCTGCCTAATAATTTCCAACTGCTAAATCTCTTTTGCAATTGTTCACTATTATTCATTAACGTTCTTTTCAATAGATTTATTCTCGGTATAACAATTGTATTGCCCTATTAAAATAATTAATGGTGATCGAAGTGATCGAATCAATCGCTAGTTGCTGCGATTTCGTGCCGAACACAACATTCCGCTGTTTACGCCGGTTGTTTAACGTTATGCTTTAATTAATACCGGGCCGTGCCACACGACGAACTCACCGGCAGCTCGATGGTTGTTCTAATTTACGCTCTCTTGTATTATGCGGTACGTGCCTCTTCTACCATATTAATCCAGGGTTAGAAGTACATCCGTGTTACACTGCGTTCCGCCGAAATAATTTCGCTTTACGGGTAGACACGCGCTAATACAATTATTTGGAAATTGGCGAATGCATGAGTGAATATATATATACATATACAAGGAGAGCCAATAAATTATTTGCATAAACATCTAATTATAGAAAGGCTACAATTAATAGCGTTGTGCTCATCCACAAAGGGTCGTGTGGTGTAAATGATCCTAAGCGGCTTAGAAATTAAAATTATTAAGATGACGATTAACGATCGTAGATGAGTAACTCCCAGTAAATAGCTATTAAAGCTATGCTGTGTTAAGTAATCTGTGTATAATAATTCCGATAATCGACGTTGTGCGAGATAGAATGTGTCGATATACGACCAAATATAGTTTCGAAACATAATAAATATCGATAGAAATGTGTGCGTACACTAAAAGAAATGTCTTACGCAGGCAGATTTCTAGGTGTTGCAATAAAAGTTTATCGTTAATTCTTGTATCTATTAAAAAATTATTTGTAACCCGCAAAAACACCGGCAACATTCTAGTAGTACCAGGTTTAGGTTTCACGACTGAATGTTAATCATTCACATTAGATAAAAATGTAACTGTTTATGTACCGCAATCGAACGTTATAATGAATGAGTGCTACAAAAGGACTTTCTTCTAACATTCGCTAACAGTTCAGATGGAAATTCTGTTTCTGTTATTTAAATTAAGTCCAAAACATATACAAGTTTTTCGCAGTATTGGTTATTTATTTATATATCTCAGTTATTTTTTTGTTAACCTAGAAAATTGTTGCTGCAGTTGCAAGATTTGTTTTTAGTGTAAACGAATATAGTGAATCACTTTTGACAAAACTTTCGAAATTAGTATTTATGTAGGGATCTGGGAGCGAGAAGGCCAGAACTGCGAGATTGTGTTAGTCCTCTATTAAGTTTATTAAAATATCGGATATGACAAAAGGACTGGGAGAGACGTGCTGTATCTGTCGCCCGTCTCTCTACTACTATCGCCGCTCGCCGCAGGAGCGCGCTCGCTCCATACGCGTCGCGTTATCCACCGTTCCTACACTCGGCCATTCCTGACTTTCCTTTGGTCCCCGAAGGAAATCCTCTGTAGGCCTTCATATAGTCGGCCGCCGAGGTCGTAATCGCAGGACCCT